AAATATTTATCAATTTTGTGATAACTTATTTTTTTTATATTTTTTTATCATGTCTTTTTTATTTATAAGATTCAAACTTGAAGTTTATTTAAGTGAATTATTACTCAAATTGTTGTAAAAAAAATATATTAAGATAGTAAAATGTGTTTATCACACCCATAATTTTTAAAATTTTCACTTTATAGCGAAAATATATTATATTAAAAATTTGATTAAATAGATATAGGATGTTATCCGTGATAACATTAATATTATCATATTAAATCCAATCCAAACTAGTTGGCAATTGCAAAAGAATTAATGTGATATTGGGAAGTAAGGTTGCTATTAAACCTAAAGTCTATAGATAGCCTAATGAACAATCCGTACACATTTATATGATGCAATCTTAACGAAAACCGAACAAAATCACCATATGAGATGTTGCAATTTATGTTTTCGAAAAACATGGAAAGATTCCCCTCCCTCCTAACCCCTTTTTCTTTATAATTTTTTGTCTGGGCCAGGGCAGGTGCTAAAGTTTTGAGTAGAGTGATAAATGAAATGCATTTGGCCTTAACAAAAAGTTGTTCTCTTTTTGTGTTAAATGGTTGTCAGCTTTCCCTATATGAGTCTTCTCTCCCAATCAATGAGTCATTATTATTGAATGCACAATCATCATCTCAGCAAAGTTCAGTTCATGTTGGGAAAAATAATTGATAATGAAGTACCATACCAAACAATCACCAACTTAGATCACAAAGCCTTGAACTGTTGAACATGCAGAAACAAACAGATCCATAAGCGAACCATATGTTTCTCTAAACTGCTAAACATTAAATTGGAAACCGTCAGCTATCTCCAGTCTCAGTCCCCTTACCTGTTTTCACCATTTACGATCAGACATATATAGTTAAATCCACATGTCACCTATTAATTAAGTATTTAATGTTTTCTTGTTTGAATTTCCCGCTAATTTTCTTTCTGCTGTTATTAATACTTTAGCTTTTTCACTTCTCATATTATTATTTTTTACTAACTGTAATGTCATCAGCTACACCAAAACAATCTCATATTATTTTAACCCATCAAGGTCATCAGTTTAAAAATATGTTCCATGCAGATAAGATAACTATATATAATAAAAATTTTCTTTCGAATATTTAAGTTAACTATTTATTTGAGACTCCATATATACTTTGAATGTTAAATTAGAACAGTTTTACACTAATTTTTTAACCGTTTTATTTTATTTTATTTTTATCTATAACAGCGAAATGGTTCAAATATAAGTGAGAAGTTATAGAGAGAAAAAAAAAAGTTCAAATTTTTAATTTCCATTTCTTCTTCTCTACCCTAACTTGTAATCGTATCAATTTTTATAAGTATTGGTTTTAAATAAAATAACCTAAAAAAAAGCAGGAACCTTTATATAATAATTAACTCCAGCTTTTGGACGTAGTTCTTCAACATTGGAAATGTTGATTGTTTGGGGTTTCCTTTTTAACATTTCACTTTTTAAAGAAAAGAAAAGGAAAAATATTTGCATTATAAGTTGCATTGAAGTTCACGAACGTTTTCATGCAAAATCTCTATTTTTATATATTTTTTAAACTATTGCAATCTTGCGCGCTAGATACAATCTCAAACTTCCATGGAGTAAGGAACAAATAGAATATGATTCTCTGAGCATATTCCACCTTTTTATCCTATTGTTCAAAATGTGATGTATCCTTTTTATAATCTTCCCTTTTCTTCTTTGTAGGTACGAAAACAGTATCTGAGCGCTAAAACTATTATTCCATCCACTTTATATTTAAGTAAAAAAGTATAGTGCTTATGTACCAATAGATGTTTAAAAAACAAAATAAATTATATTATTAAATAAAGGAAAATGAAAGATTTTATTGGCATATATATGATGGTAAGAAAGAGAATATCTTAGTTTTTGTAGCTAGCCAATGTATTTAAGATGGCAAAAATTATTCGTATATATCTTACGGTATAAAATTTGACATGGAAAGAAATTATGAATGACTTGTTTTTCTTCTCATAGAATGGAATTGTAAGTTGAATTTTGTTTACACACATTTATTAAATAGTATTAGGCCGGATTGCATATTCGAAGCTGGAATACTTTTTAACGACTAAACCAATTATCCTAAGTAATAAAAAAGATTAAAAGTATCAAATCTATATCAGTTTATAATTATTTAATATAATTTTGATGCAGGTGAATAAAAAAATTAAAATTATTTAAAATGAAATACAAAAATTTGTAGAAAAACATATATCAAAGTAATAAAAAAAATTGAATTTATATAATGACAAGAATAATCGAAGATTAGTTTCCCCATATAAACATTTCTTAATTTTCATTCAACGTTGCAATTATATAGTTAATTCTAAAATCCATAATTATATTTAAACTTTATTTTTTTAAGCGAGAAATTCTAGGTTGTTTAATAGAAATTTTAATTCTTTGGTAATTTTTGTTAAATAATTTTACTTTAAGGTCAAAGGCTAAAAGTTGATTGATAAGGTTTATCTCAATTCTTTGATAATAAATGTTATCAACGTTTTATCTAAGATCATAAGTTTAAAAGAGTTTTTCAAATTCAATTAAAATTATAAAATTATGCATTGGTCAAAACATGCATTAAGTATACAGTAAGTGATTACTTGAATAAAAATAATATATTGAATGAGTACATGAGTACAACTATACATCAATTTTCAACAAATTAGCCACTCATGCCTAAAGATTACAAAATAGAAAAAAAAACTTTTGAGCTATATGTGATTATAAGAATAACTTCAAAGAAACTCTTTAATCTCTTTAGAACTATGTTAAGTAAGAACGGATACAGAGACCTCTTAAAAACATTATTTTTATAATATTTTCTAATAAAATTTTAGGTAAGACAGAGTGCCCATGTGACTCACTTTAAGCAAGTGTACATGCATACTCCAGTGAAGCTCTTTATTTTGCCTTGCTCAAGTAGCTCGTTCTAAGTGAGTTGGTGTGATCCTCTAGGGGCACTCTCCATTGTTGCTAGCTTCAAGCAATATTTTAGTCGCTTTGAGTGAATTTTGCTAATTCATAGTGGTCTTCTATGTAACTCGGAGCTATAGTTTCCCTTTAAAATTTGAAGCTTCCAAATTATTTTTCCCTTTGTTATTTCTAACAAAAAAGACATTAAAAATAGCTAACATTTAAATAATTAAATCATAAAATTGAAATGAATTATTGATTAAGTATTTAATCAAAAACAAGATTTATAAGCATAGAATATATTACTAATTTCCTAAATTAAATAAAATATGTATGCATATTTAACAATTATCAATTCATTAGTGTAAAAATAAGATTTTCTGATGTATTTTTTTATGTTAAATGTTATCCACACGACATAAAAAGTGACGCGGTAACATTTTTGTAAATATGTCAAAATATTCTATGATAGTTGTTGATTTATCCATTATAGAATGTTCTTTTTATGACAGGTAAGTCAACACCTATTATGGAATGAATTGGTCAACCTTTGATTCCAACTTTTTTATGATGGGTGTTGACTTACTCATCATAGAAAGAAATATTTTATGATGGATAAATCGTCACTTGCCATATAATGTCTTTTTATTATTTACACTAAGAGCACGAATTGAGTTCGTACTCCTCTATTTCATTTTCTTCTTTGTTTAGGCGATATAGACAATTTTGACGACAAACAGTTGTACATTGTTAAGGCAATTTCTGGTGATACTAATGACTGTTGAGATGATTTTCGACAAAACTCTCTGTTTGTTCTCATACTCTTCTCCTTTTTGTTTTCGTTCTCACAATTGTTTGATCGTTCTCATGCTCCCAAGTTCGTTCTTTTTATTTTCTCTTTTTGATGTATTTTGTGTATGGTGTTGGTATTGTTTGATGTTGTTGATCCAACAAGAGAGAAAGAGATGTGGTAGGAGAGAAAAAACATGATGACAAAACGCGACGAGAGAAAAAAAAATATAACAAAATTTATAAAATAAATATTGTTCATCCATCTTAAAATAAACAATAAAAATAAATTAAAATATATTTAAGCCTAGTATTTATTTTCATTATATATGATTTATTTTGTAGTAATAAATTTTTAATATATATATATATATAATTATTAAATACCTATTAAATAAATATTTGCATTAATGAGACGGGTGATATAATTACTGGTTGCACGCATCCTTATCATCCTTTGACCTAACTTGTGAATATTTTGCACTCATAATATAGTAACAAAAATAAATTAAACAACTTAACTTTTATTTCTTTTTGTTGTATTCTTTCTCTTTAATTTTTCTCTTACATCTTAAAAGCATTAAGATATAAATCTCATCGCATTAAAATAAATTTAACTGAAATTAATTTTATTTTTTTATCAGTGAAATTAATTTCATTTAAAAATAATTTTATCAACGTTTATCTAAACACGCATTACATTGTAAAAAAAAACACACACACATTACAAGAATCATGCATGTATATGCTCTTTGATTTTGACCTCGATCCCTTGAGCCAAAATTTTGTCTTTGGCCCCAAAGGTAGTATATCTTAGTCCAAAGATTATACATGTAAGCAAAGTGTTTAATATAGTGAATACCGTACACCTGCTTCAACTACTATAAAATTGTTTTAACTTAATCAATAATTTTAAGTTGAATTTGTTTTCTTTAATGATAGATGTCGTTCATATACAATTTTTTTTAATATATAAGAGTGCGTGTCAATGTATCATTATTCTTTAAAAGTACATCATTACTAAAAGGCAAAAAAAATTATGTAAACAAATTACTCATTGAACTACGGGTAGACTTAATGGTGAAACTTAAGATAGATGCATGAAAATTTGTAACACTTTGTAACACTAATAATATTTTTTCTATGGCCGATTGCAAATGATAAATTTTAGAAGGTTGTATATCTAATCGACGTTACTCTTTCATGAATAACGTTGAAAGGAAGAGAGGCAACACAGTAAAGCAAAATTCCTTAACTTTGTTAAATTTCCTGAAGCTATCCACTAATAATATGAATAAGAAGGAAGGAATTTTACAATATACACAACCTAGAAGAGCGAGAGGGTGCAAGAAAGAAAAAATGTCGAGTTATATAAAATAAAAGCACGTGTGAGGTGAAAAGTAGTGGGAGCCACGACCATGATCACGTGACCCCCATTTTCGTCTACGTAGCGACCATAACGGTAAACGTTTCATGTAGCAGCGTCTCCGCTATGTTCCTTTCAATCTCCGCCACCAACCCCTCCCCTTCCTCTTCCTCCCTCATCTCCTCCATCTCTATCAGCGCGTCAATGTCCTCCAAAACCTCGCACTTCGCACGTGGGAACCTCCGAACCCTCTCCCACACGCTCTCCGACAGCGTCCCTCTGTAACGCTTGGGCCGAGCCAGAATCTCCGACAGCAACTCGTCGACCAAATCGAAGAGCAATCTGCGGTTGCAGCGTGGACCCAGAGGCTGTTTCTGCGCAAAGACGCAATCTTTGTTGTCGCCGGGGAAGGAAACAAAGGAATTGGGTGTTGGGTAGTGCTCAAGACGGTGAAAAACTGAAGGGTCCAAAGGGTGGGTGGGAGAGAACCATTGAAATTGGAGGTGGGGTAGCGTCGCCTGGGCCCCAGTAGTACGTGTGAGAATGGTTGTGATGTAATGATATTCTGCTCCTTGGTCGTGTGCGGCGGTGGTGGTGGCGGCGAAGGTGCCGTGAGATTTGTCGTCATCGATGGTGGCTCCTCCTCGGGTTCGGTGTGTTTGTGGCGCTTCCTGCTTGTACGTGGGGCGCGAACAACTAAATAACTGTGTGCTGCGCTTTGCAATTGCATCACCTACCTGTAACTTTTATTTTTACCGTATTACACACGCAAAAATTAAACCAAATCGTCAGAAACTCAGAACAAATAAGACCAACATTTGTTGTACAACAAATTTAAAACATGTCTCCTTCACTTTTTATTATTATTTTAAATATATACTGAGAGATGGTTTAATTTTTATGAAATTGTCCGTAAAAAAATTACATTTGTCAATTAAGTAAAAATTATGATAAATATTAAATATAATGCATGAATTATTTTATCTTATTTCTATACAGATTAAATTATTAATTAATTATTTTTATTTTAAATATATAATACTAATTTAATTATGAATAAGTTTTAAAATAAATATTGAAATTTAATTTAAAGGTAGACGCTAAAAAATCAAATATATGAATAATGGTAAAAAAAAATTGGGTTTTTATTTTTTATCTATAGAAATTTAGAGATTTTTTTTGTTAACTATTGGGATATTTTATGAAATACAAATTAAAAAGAGGAAAAAAGAAGAATATTATTTAAAAGGTCTAACTTAGCCAAATTGTGTATTTTAATCTATAATCTACAAAATAGAAGTATATATGGGGTGAATGAGAAAATCTTTGAATATTGTAAAAAAGAATAAAATTATAAATCTTAGTTATATAATCAATGATGATTGAAATTAAAAGTTATGAACATTTTAAAAAGTTAACTGGTTTGTTTTTTAATAGTCATTATTCAAATATTATATGATTTGTATGTATTAAACTTTCTTGATTCTTAAAAAAAAAAAAAATCTTACTTGATACGATGTTAAATATGATATTCAAATAAGGAAAATTCAACAATTAAAGTATTGTTTCTGATGAGAATGTGGAAAAAGAAATGCTTGTATTGTGAAATTCAATGGAGGGGTACCTACCTGTTTTTGAGGAGAAGAGCCTGTTTTGACAGGGAGAAGATTTGGGACCGTATTGAGGTTATCAAGAAGATTGGTTGAAAGTGGATGAGTTCTCTTGCTTTTGGTTTTGATGTCATTGGCTTTAGTGGCTGATGTGGGACGAATAATAAATGACTCTTCTTGCTTGTTTCTGATTGATGTCTGTGGTGGTTTGTTCACTCGGGAACTCATTTTTCCGGGGGTACTTTTCTTGCATTTTGTGACTGATTTTTGGTTCTCGGCCAATGCTTGAGGCTTTGGTTTTGTAGAAACTCTTGAAAGCTGCGTTTCAATGTTGACCACAGGTGGAGGTGATGGTGGTTTCACCACTGTGTGTGTGTTTTGATTTTTTGGAGTAATTGGTGATGATTGTGTAACGGTGGTGCTTGGCTTGTGTTTGGCATCAATAAATCTGCTTAGCCTTGGGGAGTAAGATGTGTTTGAGTGTTTTCCAGGGCTGGATTCATTCACTGATGTTTTGGGGTGTTTCTTCAGTTTGAATTGGCCAACAAATTCTTCTCTTCCTTGTTCTCTGTTCTTGACAGTGTTGGTGATGTCAAGTCCAACCTTCCTGCTCACACTTTCCTTAACCTGTTTCACAATTTGCCTGGCGTAGTGGCTTGGACTCCTGCTATTGTTCTCATCATAGTATTTCCTCTTTGAAAATGAGAACCGAGGAGCCTCAAAATCCTCCCAAGGGAGTGTGTTCTCCTTGTTGATTTGGAGAGAGAGTCGATGCTCAACATCTGATCTTCTGGCAGAGGACATTCTAGGAGTCTCAGGCAAGTTGTCACTGCCTGTGCTGTTTCTGTGTTTGATTATTTTGATGTGTTGGCGTGGCCTATGACCTTGTTGGTTTGGAGTGGAAAGGGTTGGGGAAGAAGAGGAATGTGCATCCGGAAGAAGATCAAGACCCATTAGTCTTGCAACCAAAGTTGGTGTCTTGGTCCCCGGAGAAGCACTGATTTCTGATGAAAGATCACTAAAGCTTCCTGTTCTTGATCTTGTGCTCGCACTTGTTTTGATTCGAATGTTCTTCTGGATTTCAAGAATGAATAAAACTTGTTGTCATCATTACTCACTTTACAGATTAAACAAGCCCAGATATAAGTATGTGAAAGTGAAAGTCATAAAAATTGGTGAAAAGTTGGAGGTACTGTTACTTAATCAACTTACAGGTATTTTAAAGTTTTCTTCTTTTGAGATTGATGACAGCGTACCATCTTCTGATTCCAAGCTATTCCTTTGTGCTTCAACTCCTGAAGAATACAAAACTTAAAATGAACCATAGTTTCCAGAGTAGTTGTGTGTGTTTGAGATTTGTAGAAAAGGGATAGTTTTAAGAGAGAATGTACCTTTGGGGAGAGTGTGGTCTTGTGAGGTGCGAGAGGGTTGTTGGTGGTTTATGGAAAAGTGAAATGGATGAAAATCAAAGGCCTGAAAGAGTGCACACATGCAACCAGAAGAGATTTGTGTTTCAGCTTGTGCACCTCTCTTGGAGGACCTTCCACCCCAATTCCACTCCTTGCCCATAATTGGTATACTGAAGTTTGGAAATAAGAAAGATGATATGTATAAAGGGGTGGTGAAAGTGATAAAATCAGAATGAAAATGACATATATAACAATAAGTCTCAGACACTCACACACTCGCACACACTTTTTGTGTAGTGTTTGAGGTCTTGGCAAGATAATCTAAAAAGGCTCGTGGGATAGGATATATGCAGGTGAAGAAGCGAGAAAAGCGGATCCTTATAAAACGGTCACATTACATGAAAGGAATTAAAGTACACTTGAATTTGTGCTGATGTAATAATGCAAGTAGTTTTTTTTTCCCCTCTTTTCTTTTTTACCATCTTTGAATTTTTTAACCTTTTGAGAAGAATATTACACACACACACTCTCTCTCTAATATGTTGTTATCTTAATCGCACTCACTCCCAAGCCTGCTGGGAGAGAACCAAAACCAAAGAGAAGAGGACCAAACCTGTTGCTAGCTTATTATTGGGAACTGAGATAGGTAAAGGAATTAAGAATTGAGGAAAGATGCGATGTGACCACGCACCTCTCTTTCTACTTCCTAACCATGACTCTCGCTGTCTGTCACTCTCTTCATTTGTCACATTACATATATGCATATGAAAAGTTATCGTTATACCTTTTCGTTTTGCAATTAAAAAAAGATAAAATAATTTATCTCACAAAAATAAATAAAAAGTTATATATATGAGTATTATTTTATAACATTTAAATTTTATTGATCTAAGTCTAATTACTCAATTACATCTATATAAATAAGATATCAAATAAATTTAAATTAATATAAAATTTTATAAATATAATTTATACACAAGAAACTTTGGTTTTGACATGAATTTTGAGATAAAATTATCTAATTAAGTTATTAAATTAAATTGTGTTGGTAAATTTCACAAATATTTATTAAATACACTTACTCGTATTTTAGTTGGAGTATAATAATCATAATAAAATATGTATGTTTTAAAATAGTTTTAATTATAATTTACTAATTTATTCTAAGGTGGGCGTACGTAAGTTAAGGAAATTATATATATATTCCCGTGGCATATAATAGGCAAATGAACAGTTGGCTCTGGCTGATGAGCTCGTGTGATTCTTACATTAATACTCCAAGGTCCATTACTCATTAGGGGTCTGTGAGATTTTTTTTTTTTATTCGTCCTGGAGTATCCACCGCCGACAGCAGTGACTAATCTCCTCGCTACGTTGGAGGTACCTCAAAGAGTGGGATAGCTGACCCAAAAATTTAACGCGACTGCATACACGAGACAGGATTCGAACCCCTAACGTTGCGATTTCAAAACCTACCCTACAATAGTTTTAATGACTATTTTTGGTAGTTTTTATTTATTAGTGGTGATGGAAATTCATTTACTAATAAAATATTTGGTTTATATATAATGTTGTACATAGGGGATCCACTATGGACTTATTTATATCCTAATCAAGTATCAATCGTGAACATTTATGACTTTCAGATCTGTTTCTGTTGACCTTGGAATTGAATGTTCAACCTAATTGGAAAGAATCTTCTTCCAACGGAAAGAAAGAAACTCTGTGATGAGCGGTTTTCAGTTTTTTCTTTTTTTCCGCCAAATGCATCCAAATTGAAAAATTACCCACTTTCATATATTTTTGTGATAATTTCCTTTTTTTTCGTCACTTATTATCTTACTTTATACTTGTATTTTTTTTTCTATTATTATTATTCTCCTAATTATTAAACAAAAAACTTATAAAAACACTCGACCAGGAATATAATTTCTCTTCGTAATGTGGTGTCCCTGCAAACCTTCATCCTCCCCGATACATTGTGATTATTTAGATCTAAGCGCTATATACTAACTATAATGATCAATGATTTGATAACTTGAGAGTCTAACTAATTTTTTTTTTATTTTTTTATTAATATAACTAAATTTACGTTATAATGTATAGTTGAACACCACAATTTTACAAACATTTTATCAACACTTACCATTTTTATTATCACACCATATTACTTACTATAACTTTACAACTCTCTCTTTCTCTCCTTATGTATATGCAACATTTTTTTATTTTAACTTTAAAAAATAAAATGCAATAATAATCATTATTTAAAAATCGATAATAAATATTATAATTAATTTTATATTTTATTTTGTAAGAATTTGATTTTATCATAATTTTTAATTATTGATTTTATAATTAACAATTGAGAGTGTACTTTATTTTCTAAAGTACATTTCTCTCACTTAAATTTATATTTGATATTATACTTTTGTTGGTCAGTTTTCAATGTGACCAAGTTAACCTTTAAGTTTTTATATATCTTTATGCTCGAAATTGGGAGATTATGTATAAAGACTTCATGAGGAATTTTTTTTTATAATGTTTGAACTTAGATAACTTCTTGGAGATCCTACATTTTTCATACCAATATAGATGCATAAAAATTTTATAATTGTTTCACATACTCTTTCATAAAATATTAAACTTTTCAAATATTGTGAATGCTCTTTTTTCCTTTTTAAATTTTTGAAGGGATCAAGTTACATTAGAATAAATTTTATCAATTATTATATCCTTTAATAATTTTTAATTTGATAATTTTTAATCCATCATTAGATTAAAATTTCATTTCACTTAGATTTCATTATTTTAATTTATAGTATATAATAATCTCAACAATTTTAGTGACTATTAGCTAGAAAAATTAAAAATATTTTTCAAAATTGATAATAGAATGTTATCCAAAAAGTAATGACGTCTTAAAAAATTAAATAAATTAGTTTTATATCAATTAAAAATGTTGAATAAAACCAATTAAGATAAATTATATCCCTGAAACTTACAGATAAATTTAAAATAAAGTTATCAGAATTTAATTGAATTAAATTTTTTTAAAAAAAAAGTTGGTGTTTTGGCTTTATATATAGTTAGGCTAGGGGTGTCCTGCTTTGTGCAGAGAAGGATCAATGATGAATGGTTAGATGGAGTGTAGGGTAGTCGAAAGCTGTCTAAGCAGTAAAATACCCTTAAAACGGGTGGATCCAAGCCAAGGAGAATGACGGCTACCAAATTAAGGATAGAACAAAAATTCTACCTTCTAGGACACTCCTAAAGTTTGACGTTGAGATAAGTTAAATGATTGGAGTTACAACTTACAATATATAGTTAGTTCAACAGTTCATTGCTGTGCTTCCTATTTTAAGCTAGCAATCAACGACCCCCCTAATCGCAACACGCCAAAATCATTTAAACAGTAAATTAACTCAATTAACAAAAAGATACATGAATCTGCAGTGTAATTTGAATGCTACTTTTATGTAATTTCAATTTTTACATTATACAATTTAATCCCAAATTAATTAATAGGTGTAGAATGAGAATTAAAATGAAAAGCAAAGTAATATAATAAGCAATGAATTATGGAGTAAATTTGTGGATGTAAGAAATGACCACCTGATTTGAAGCTTGTTCTCCAATGCATCTCTTACAACACCTAACAAAATGCAATGCCATTGAATATATTTTTCAATTGCTAGCAAGATGAAATGGAGCAAGAACATTTAAATCATCTCGATGAGTAGCTCTCTCACTCTGCCCCCAATCGAATCCAATTCAGTTAGAAACATAATTGATGTCTGCATCAACTCGTGTTGAACTTAAAAGGAGTCATGAATAGCTCAGACTCAGGCAGGGAAATGAAGATGGACCCCCGAGTCCCTAAACTTTCGTACACCATGTGCCCACAATGTGTATGCACCTTTGCCGACACTTTTTTAATTTTTCATGTCAATCAAAATATAGTACCCGGAAACTAGCAACACTTGCCAGATGATTGATCACTTCGTTTACCATTTTAACTTGTGTTTGATTTTCTCCTAGAGCAATGCCGTAGATCATCTTCCCAATTAATAATCAAATGACATTTCTTAAAACTTTTTTAATATAATATTTACGATCCATTTTTCGGCTACTCCTTTCCAAGCCATCACCATTTTTGTTTCTCATAATGTATATGGAGATAACTTTATTCAAAGACAAAAAAATATATTTTTTAGTAATCTTTACACTTAAAAAAGAATTAATCTTCGACTATTGATTAAAAATAATTTAAATATATATCCATTTAATTCCTACTGTTTCATTAACTTTATTTGATAGTTCCTGGTTGAAAAATACTATTTGAATTCATCTATATCTTTTACTTATTCTTTTTAGTTTCTGCTGCAATAAAATTTATTATGAAACTATAAAATTTTTAAAAAATAAAATATTATATATATATATATACACATATATATATATACATATCATCATCATCATCATCAAATATAGTGATCTAACAAAGCTAGACCAAGAAAGTTTGAATACTTAAAAAATGCATAAACAAAAAATAAGAGTTTTAAAAGTCATGACAATTTGCATAAACGAAAAACACTACTGACCCCCCTCCCCCCGAAAAAAAAAACCCGTTTGGCAATCTCTACTGAGATTTTTTCTTAGTTTAAATACTAATTGGTTCATGTAATTTGATGAATTTTATATTATATCCCTAAACCCTAAATTCTAAACCCTAAATATATATATTAAGGAAGGTGAAATCCATGTGTTTCATGATTTGGATATGTATTGATATATAGAAAATGCTGGGATAAAAAGTGAGAGATTTTAATAGTCAGAAACAAAAATCAAGGATAGCAATTTTATTGTTGTTTTTTCAATAGAGTTTTCTTGTAGGCATGATTACGGTCAAATCCTAATTAGTACATTTAAGGAACATAAATTATGTACAGGTGATTACTACCGAGAAAATTACCCACTCATGTCAGGCTCAGGCCCTATAACAGTTATGTAAAATCTTACATCACTTAGATTTTGGATGACCTTACTACTGGTAATCATGATGGTAAAAGGGTCCACAAGCCCTAGTTTTCAAATGTTTCTATTTACCTATATAGATTCGAAATTAGTTTCTTATAATTCTCTCAAAGCTGGGATGCTGAATTTGGTGTCTGTTTCGAACGTGACTAGTTCTAGAGTGGTCCCAACACCTGGCTTCAAAGTTAATTAGATGCAAATTAAGAAGCTTGATGCTCAACTTCTCCATCTTTGACCTCCAAATTAAATAACACCGATATATATATTCTATTTGCTCAGAAAAAGCTCATGAACTTCCATGCAACTCATTTAATTCAGACACACAACTTTTGTTTAACTACTATATATCATTAAGAAAAATAGTGCCTTTAAATACAATAATTGGGGTGAAAGTAATAAATATTGGGAGTTTACTCTACTTTTTACTAGCTGAGATATATATATACTTTTTGACCAAGCCAATTAATTGTCTGTATTTTATTGGTTCCGTGAGAGACTAGAAGCTAGTGAAGCCGATCGAAGAGGTACTAAATACACAT